TGATAGGGATTTTTGGGGCTGAACTTATGTTTGGACTTATTGAGACCCCGATAAAACCAACGGGTGGGAGTATAAGTCCAAAATTGGTCCTATCTAAGGGTTATCCGTATAAATCAGACCTTTAAGTCTCACGAGTGGAGATGCTCTAAGCTTCCATTACAATGCCTTGTGGCTGAGTCGTTGTACTCATGCTCTGCATGGCAGCAAGGCTATGCTGCTACCCTATATTTAGACCAGCTATTACCATCGTCAACAAACTCACCAACATGACTTGGTCTATGACTCTATTGGGACAGGAAAAATCCATACTCACAGAATATTTCTCATTGGGAAATCTCGTCCATCCTAGCGGGTTAAACGTGACGCGTTTGTGACAGCGCCCCATGTTGTGTGTTTATGACAGAATTGTTGTGATAACGACGAGATTATACTGGTAGGATTTACGCTAGATACCGATTAATTGACTGTCCGAAGCCTAAAAAATGTCACATAGTTTAATCAAGATAAAAATCGCGATCAAGATAATCTTGCATAGTTTAATCAAGATGAAAATTGAGGTCAACATAATCCAGTGTACTTTAATCAAGATTATATACTGTATTCGGCCAAAACCGAAAAGTCAAAATATGCCTTTGAGGGACAATTCAAATGTGTGAATTATCTGTTAACGGGATTTTCTGAGTGCAACACTAACGGGATGAAGTCGCTACGCAAAATCGGTTTGCAACAGTTGCGAATTCGCATTGGAGGCCACAATTATCAGGACTTCGTCGCGCCTTGAGCGTTCTCTGCATCTGCGTGGGGTGCGCGGCCGTTCGCAGCGTAGTGGAGGTAAGCTTGCTTCAGCTTATCGGGAGGGGTTTGGCGCATTGCCGGGGTTTTTTATCGTTAGCGAACCACTGGCGATGCGCCAAACCCCCGGAAAATGAAGACTGCACTTCGATATAACTTATGTACTTTAGGTTCCAGAGCGCCGGGGTTCCGAGGTGTCAGGCTCTTCGTGGGGCGCGTCGTTGTGTATCCATTTCATTTCTTTCGAGGTAAGTGATATTTCATGCGCGAAGCGCCATCCCTAATAAAACTAGTCGTTAGCACAAACACTAGCGCATCGCCGTGTTTGTGCTAACGACTAGTTTTGTGTGAAGACGACTGGTTTTGTGTGAAAGCGATCAGTTTTATTGTGACATCGACGATAAACATCTGCTGGCACCATATCTGTTGTGTGTGAATCTAATTTTATTGCGACGGAGATATTACCTCTCGAGTACCTAGTTGGCGCACCACATGGTGTC